AGCCTGTTTCCGATTCTGTGTCTCCCTCTCTCTCTCTGCCCCTCCCCTGTTCATGCTCTGTCTCTCTCTGTCCCAAAAATAAATAAAAAACGTTGAAAAAAAAAAAACAAAAAACAAAAACAAAATAGGCTTAAATTAATCCAGAATCTTAAACCTTCTTGAAAGCCCAGTTACAAATTTTTACAGACACAAGTTTTTAAGGTTGATGCACAGAAAAATTCCAACCATACAACTGGCATCAGAGAGAAAAAAACCCTTACAGATGTTCTTGAAGCAGTAGATAAGAGAATCCTCTGAAGAAGCCTTTACTCACCCTTCGCATAACCCATGGCTACCATACCAGATAGTGCTATAAGAAAGATAAAATGCCCATGGGCCCCATACTACTCAGTTCTGTGTGTTAACTACAATCTCTAGGTAATTTGTCATCATCTGAACCTTCACTCCATTTCTACAATGTATTCTACCAATCTGAACCAATTTAGCAAACCCCCACCCCCAATTATGCCATGTAGAAATCACAGCAAAGTCTCTATATCTTAATTTCTTAGACTAAATGAGGATATATTTATTTTCCTTCTTTCCGTGATTTCCTGCACAGTCTCCTCAGTTTCTTGCCATAACTGAAACCTGGCTATTTCCTCAGGCTTCTTCTCTAGTCTTCTCAAGTGAGGACTCTTTTTCCTTTGACACCCACCTAACTTAGGACCTGGAGATAGTAAATATTTTCTATTTGCCACAGCTCCAAACCATTTATCCCTCCTCTACCTCCCCAAATCCCAGCTCTTTCGAAGCTCATGCCATCTGGCTCTACCATCTGCTATCATCTTCTCTTTGATCCCCAGATGACTCTTCTTCATTCACTGATGCCTTTAGTGCCTCCCTCAATGTCTATCCAGCATGACTTTCACGTCCATCTACATGCATCATCTATTTAACACCACAGTCCTTGATCTCCACCTCAATCCACTTCCACGTCATCTTGGTCATAACCTTGACCTTCTCATCACAAAAAATTACATCAGCTTTAAGCATCTGGCTCTCTGATTACTGTCAAGAGATGACAGTACATGATGGCTGTCCTTTGATCACGCAGTACTTCCACCTCAGTAATTCTTATACATTGCGAAGGCCTCTCATCTGCTTCTACAAGCCTACCATAGTCCATTCTCCACATAGCCAGAATGATGATTTAAAAGGTAAATTAAGTCATATCACAATTCTCTTTAAAACCTCTGATCACATTTAGAATGAAATCCAAACTGCTTACCCTGGCTTCCAAAGACTTCTAAGATTCTGGCCTCTGTTTATTCTCCAAACTTATCTTGTATCCTTTCCCCATTACCCACTATACTCCCAACCACACCAGCTTTCTTCAGTTCCTTTGTGTTAACTGTTCCTGCTGATTAAATTAGCCCTTCCCCAATGACATCCTCAGAGAGGTCTTCCCTGACTAATATGGTAAAGGAACCAGCAAGGCACTCTTTCACCAAACTCTATTCAATTTTCTGCACAGTATTTCTATCTAATAATTTTCCCTATTATTTACGGTAGACCTCTCACAACTACAATGTTAGCTCTATGGGAGCAAGAACCGTGTCTGCCTAATTGACTAATTATCTCACATTCAGAACAGCGTCAAGCATATAGTAAGCATGCAACCAATACTGACTGTTGAATAATGAAACTAGTACAAAATAAGAGCTGTAAGAGTGAAGAGGAAGAAAAAAGAGATCACTCCGGCCTATGATAATCAGAAAAGGTGTAATGTGAGAAGTGGCCATCTAAGTCTTCAAAATTATTCAAGAGACAGAAATAAGGTAAAAACGTATAAGTAACATACAAACAAAATATGCAATGTGCCAGGGAAAATTGAACAGTCCAGACACAGGAGTAATGTCTTACAGTACAGTTCTAGAAAATACGGTTTGGATTAGAGCCAAACTGCCAGTGAATGCCCTGCCAAGGACTTAGGATCTATTGAGTGGTCAATAGATGGCTACTGCAGGTGTTTGAGTAGAAAAATGGCACAATCCAAAAAGCTGTTTTAATAAGATGAATAATGGCAATGAGCAGGATGAATGTGATGAAGTATTCCAAGAGTTTCAAAGCAATGTGATCAAGAGCACTGTTTTAGGATTGGCCTTGTAAAGAATAAAGATCTACTCTCTCCCAGTAAAAGCAAGATGTGACGACATTCTAAACTACTAGGATAGGTAGAACTGAAAAGAACGTAATGATCAGGGAATTACAACAACCATCTTATAAAAGAATGTAGCTGAGCTGGAGGGGGCCAAGGAGCCCACGTGGAGTTAAACACAAATGTGCAGTGTTCCTAAACAGATTTCTTGATGCGGGTACGGGGTGGAGAGGGGAGTGAGTAGTTTGGCTAACCCAAGACAGGGTAATTGTTGGTTGAGGGTAGATTCTGGGGAGATGTTAGAAATGCAGCAGGTAGTGCCTTTTCCCCTCACGCTCTTTCTTCCAATGCCAACGCTCAGCCGAACTCACTCTTACTTGCTTCCTGTCACCAATTTGCAGAACTAGTCTCCGGCGGTGTTGCCTTCTGGCTAATCCGAAAGTACCCCCCAGACACAGCCAATGGCTCCACTTCTCCCTCCACTTCCCCCTCCTGTCCCAACGCACGATACTAGCCCATGTCGCCCTCCTCTTGCGGGCAAACAGTCGGGGGTCCCATTACTAATCACGTCATTGCCCCCCACAGAAACGCCAAAACTCGCAAGATTGACCCGGTCTACCTCACGTCCACGTTACGGAATTCCTGGGCACAAAACTGTGCGCAAGTCCGGAAGCGCTAAAATACTTAGCCTCCGACAGCGGAGTAATTAAAGGGGCAGGCTGCCACTTAAAGCAGAGCCTTACTCAAGACCCGGAATTTCTCTGCGGAGACGCCAGGACTTGCAAAGAGGAGGGGCGGGGTTTGGACGTGGGCGGGGTCTCGGGCTGGAACTAACAGGTGGGACCCTCCCCGCTCCGCTGCTGTTCCAAGTCCGGGTTGCCTCGCAGCCGGCTCAGCTGGGCGGTGCCCTGGCCGCCCAGGCGCCCCAGCCGCCCTGGCGCCCCGCTACTGGGCAGGTAAGGGATTCCCGCCGTGCGCGCCTTCTTCACAGGTCGTCCAAGATCTGTGCTCCGGCCTCCATCCCTCTGCCGCAAGGTTGTTGAGGGACGGTTTCGGAAGGAAAATAGCAAAGTGAGAAAAGTTAGGAAGTAGTTTGTGTGCGCACAGCTTGCTCCAGGCTAAAAACTTGGGTGGGTTCCCGAGGTTCAAAAAGTGAATAGGACCTGGGGAGGAGCCCGGGGCGTGGAGAGGCGTCACCAAGTTCATTGTGTGGCTGTGTCAGACCTCGCGTCCTGTTTCTCAACACCCAGGCGTTGTGTTGCGGGAACCAATTTACGAAATGAATCTCTTTTCCCGAGAACCAGGAAGTAAGGCCAGCTCCGGGCAGAGATGCTCGTGGCATGGAAAGCATTCTGGGTCTCCACAAGATTCTAATTAACTTGTCACTCTGGCTTCCAAGTTTCCAGGAAATTAGAAAGTAAAGAGGGCTGTCAGGATCAGGTAAGTACAGAATCAGATGGGAAAAGTATACCTGACAGCCTGGAGCAAGAGAGATAACAAAGGGATAAAAAGCAGACCCTGAGAAAGCGAGAAAATGCCATTTAAAATGGAAACAGATAGCTGTATTTGTGCTTGAAAAACTTACTGCCCAAGGAGCCCTAAGAGTGGAGAATATTAAAGCCAGCCTTTCCCCTTTCTAAGGGTAATCCTTGAAGAGATCGGTCAGAAAGTTCATTATCTCTTTTATTCTCTCAAGCTGAGCACTCATTTGAAGTTTGCTTTCTGCCTGTCCAGTCCAAGCTCCTGATCCTGCGGGCCAAACTTGCACCTTACAGTCTTCTCCATCCTAGTAAATGTCAGGAAACGTTCAGGCCAAAAATCTTGGTGCAATCTCCTTGCCCTTCATATCAGCACATAGGATTCTATTTGCTCTACTTCAGAAAATATACAGCATCCTAAGACTTTGCACCTTTTCTGCTACCACCCAAGCCACCAGCACCTCCCACCTGGATTGTTCGTGTACTACTAATTGGTCACTCCCTGCCTCTCCACTCTTACTCCAATATCCTTTATTCTCAGCAGCAGCCCCAGTGTCCTTTTAAGACATGAATATAGAGTGTATGTCTCCATTCTCAAAGCCTCCACTGTCTTCTCACTCAGAGGATAAACAAAATCAATACAAAGGCTATAGGCTCTAGCCTACCTCTCTCATCTAATCTGCTACTTTCCTGCTCCTTCCTCTCCAGACTTAGCATCTCCTTGCTGCTCTCAGTGGGCCCACTCCAGACCTTTACATTTAGTATTCCTTTTGTCTCCAAGCTTCTCCCACAGATATCCCAATGTCTGACTTTCCCATTTCTTCAGACCTTTAATCACATGGCACTTTTTTACTGAGGCCTACTCTGACTACCCTCTTTAAAAATGAAACCCCTTCTCTATTTTTGTCCGCACTATGTAGCATAGTATAGAGTTTATTTGCTTATTGGCTATCTTCCTCTGTTAAAAATATAAGCCCCATGAGTTCAATTATTTTTTTCATATTTTCCTAATGTTTTATCTCTAGGAACTTAGATCAGTATCCAGCACAAAGTAGACTTCAGTCTACTTTGATTTATTTATTTTAGCATTCTGAAATATTCAATATTTCAGCCTGCTTGGGATTCTCTCTCTCTCCCTCTCTGCCTCAAAATAAATAAATAAACTTGAAAAAACTAAATTAAATTTTTAAAATTAGTCTTTCATCCAACACAACTATTTTGAGTAGCTGCTAAAGCTCAATTTGGTTGGGTCCCTGCTTAGGAAAGCACACCATCTAGAAGAGAAGGCAGACACATTAAACAATAAAATATGATAATTGTTATGCTGGAAGAGTGACTGGTGACAGTTTGGAGCAAAGGAGATGATTATCAGGGAAAGCCAATAGTGCCTTTTGCATTGAGCTTGAAGAAATCCTAGGCATTTACCTGGTTGTCCTCAAGGTGATTGGGCAGTTATTTTACTGAGCCCTAAATGAATTCACCTTCTGCTTCACCAAAAAATAACGTTGTGTGAGAATTCTCCCTCTCCCTTCAAATATGTCTGTATCCAAACCTCTGCTTCCTCTTTTCAAGATTTGGAAGAATCTTCCTTCTATTCAAGGCTACATCTTCACCTATACTCTATTCACTATCCCTTTTTGTATCTTCAACCAGGCTTAACTCTAAAAGCAAATCTTAAACCAGCAGTTTTCAGGATGTTGTTGGTGTCCCCAAGTCTCTTTCAAGAGGTTTGTAGGGTCAAAATCGCTTATGAGTAAAAGATTGATTCAGAATGCAATGAACTTTAATGAAACAAAGTTCATTGATATGGTTTAGGATATTATCTTTTATCAAGGTTCACTATAGTGTCAAAGAGAAAAATCTACTTTGTGAAAAGGCTATTAAAATACTGTTTCCAGCTATGTGTCTGTGTGAAGTTGGATTTTCTTCATATATGTCAACCAAATCAATATATTGCAGCAGATTACATGCAAAAGCAGATATGAGAATTCAGCTGTCTTCTATTAAGTTGAACATTAAAGACATTTACAAAACTGTAAAATAATATCACACTTTTATTTATTTTGGAAAATGTATTTGTATCAAAATATGTATGCTAACATGTAATATGTTCATTATTTTTAATCAGTTAATGAATAAGTAATCTTTAAAGTTCTCAGTGTCAGTTTCTAAGAAGGTAACTATTGATAGATCTAACCAATATAAACAAAAACTCTTTGGAGTCCACAGAAATTTTTAAGAGTGTAAAGGGTACCAAGACCAAATTTGAGAACTGATGCCTTCTGTCTCTGCCTCTGTGTCTCCTTCCCTTCAAACCCAGATTTCTTGGAAAATGCACTTTTATCATTCACTCACTGCTCTATAAAAACTGTTCTTAAGTCATCCAGTTTCCAAATCTAACACACCCGTCAGTATTTATCAGACCTCTTTGGGTCTTTTATACCAACCTATCCCCTATTCTAGAAATCTCTGATATGCTATTGTCTTAGTTTTTTTTCTTACCTCCATGGCTAATCAATACTTTTTAAAGATTCTTCTTTCTCTTCATATTCTATATGTTCCTAATAGGCAACCTCATATTTACTTGTTGCTTCAACCAACAATTTACTTGTGAACATTTGAGAATACTCATACACTGAGCATTCTTTACTTAAACCTCTCTCCTAAGCTCCAGACCATATATCTAGCTACTTAGTGCCAAATCCCCTAGATGGTGCCAGAGGTAGATATTTCACATTTAACATGACCATGAACACTTCATTTCCTCTATCATCTAACTGCCCAAGCCAAAAAACCAGGAATCAGCTTCTGGATTTCCCTCATTCTCCTCTCCCTCTAATATCTGATGTGTCGTTAAATTATTTCAATTTGGCCTCCTAAATCTTTGAGTCTTTTTTTCCCTCCATTCCTCAACTTTTTTCAGGCTTTCATTTCTGCTGACCTAGATTATTGCAAAGTCTTCAAACTGGTCTCTTTATCTCAATATACATCCCTTCAAATTTTTTTATCCAGGAGAATCCACTTAACCAAATAAGATCTCATGACACCTTTCTTTAAAATCCTGAAATGGCTTCCTTATAACTTTTAGTAGAAAGCTTAAACTCCTTGTCTTAATATCTGAGGTGCATGATGATTTGGCCCTGCCTACCTCTCCTACCTCTTCTCTTACTACTTAATGACATGCATCCCATGCGCCAGCCATAGCAAACTCCTTGCCTGAGCCTAATCCATGTTCTCCCTGCTATTCCTACTGCTTGGAATTTCCTTTTAGGTTTATCCTCATTCCTTTTCACTCATCCTTCTAATCTCCCACCCCACCTAAATCTGTCTTGATATATTTCCTTTAGACTGCTTTGGCTTGATGCTCATTCACTGGGCATCCACACCCTGCACACCCCTCTTGTAACATTTGTCATTCACTCTTTGTATCCCCTGCTGGACTGAGAAGCTTGAAAACAAAGATTTTTCTCCTCTCTGTAGCTCCCATCACTTAGTACAAAGCCTGACATGTTTGTTTTTAATTTTTTTTTAAGGTTTATTTATTTTTGAGAGAGAGACAGAGAGACAGAGAGACAGAGCATCAGCGGGGGAGGGGCAGAAAGAGAGTGAGACACAGAATCTGAAGCAGGCTTCAGGTTCCAAGCTGTCAGCACAGACCCTGACATGGGGCTCAAACTCACAAACCCGCGAGATCATGACCTGAGCCAAAGTTGGACCCTTAACCAACTGAGCCACCCGGATGCCCCCAAAGCCTGACATGTTATTTGAACATATGAATATATGAAAGGATATGTCTTGTCTTTATAGAAAAGAGAATGACTCAAACAATGCATTGAGTTATAGAAGCAAGGACATATGGAATGAATTTTGGAGTAAGATACAGATTCGTGTACAAGTCTTCATTTACTACCTTTGTGAAGTAAAGATGTTAAAATTGTCTTCATCACTGTAAGGGTTAAGTGAAATATATGAATTACTTAGCATGGTACTAGACAACAAATTCATTCATTTCTAACATTTATCTTCAATATATACCACGTGCTAGTCACTAGTTTTATATTAGTGAATGAAAGAGCATAGTCCCTGAACTCATGGAGCTTATAATCTGATGGGGGAGGCAGGTACTAAACAAATAAATACATGATTACAGTTACATTGTGCAGTGATCAAAGACAATTAGGTAGAAGGCAGATAGACCTACTTAGATGCCATGGTCAAAGAAGG